TTTATCCCAGGATAAAAACAGACAAATAGCAAAGGGTAAAAAGGCAAGGGCCACATCTTATTTGTTTCAAGTAGTCTCCCTCTACACATAGAGTCCCTACTGATTTCACAAAAGAAAGATCTTGTGCAAAAGTGGTCCACATAGGAAGTAGGAAACTAGAAATGACCCAAGCTCCTGATAGATAGTTATCAATAAATCTATGCAATCATAATGTCATTACTTTGTTTTCACTGGATGTCAAAGTCTTTGCAGTATCATTTTTTTCCTGACAGACCATTTATCACAAATTTTCTCCTCTTAGTAATTTTTTGCTGCTTGGAAAAGTCTACATGCACAGAAAAACATTTTGAGAAATGATGAAAAATATTTACTTTATACTTAGAATTGCTTTTCTATGCAATTTAGTGTCAAAATATAAACAAATAGCTGTTAAAATTATCAACAAACAACTGTGGAGGACTTTGCCAATATCAATGCCTTTCATGGAGAAAATCTAAATCCATTACTTTTTAAACAGTGTTTACATGTAGGTCCAGAACCACAGTTTTAGCTCCTAGTGATAACTTTAAACCCTGAAATCGGGCATTCTTATATTTTTTATTTTGTCAAATGCTTTTGTTACTTATTTAACCTCTTCATTATTTACTGAATAAATTCATAAAAATGGGTTCCTAAATAGAATAAGATATATTCCATGCTTGTATAATTATATCAAAATAAATTCTATTATCATGTATAAACAAAAATAATGCAATAAAAATAATTCATTGAATAAATCCATTTCCTTAAAATGGTATAATATAATTAATGGTATGCCAGACCTGAAGTTTATTAAAATTTTATCAAGGTGTTTTTTTTTTAAATCTCTTCTGACAATTCTGTAATCAACTTGGAAGAATAAAGATTCATAGCAATTGTTTTCACAGGTTGAGGAACTGGTCTCAAAACTTCTCTGAGTAATGGGCTAGTGGCAAAATAGCAGAGGTTTCAAGAGGAGTTGGGGTAAGATCCTTCCTTGCCCTGTGTTATATTAACATGTCAGGAGCTGACACAATGGTCAGGCTGGTTGAATTACAATAATGAAGATGTGTCCATCTGCAAAGAGCAGGAACTGCAGAATTAGGTAAATCCGTTTGAATTCCAGTTCCCCCCACTTACCATCTATGTGACTTGGGACTAAACATTTAGTCACTGGGTTTTAATTTCCACATCTGTACAAGGAAAACAATACACACACACACACAGACACACACACAGACACACACACACACACAATAGGCATATAGAAAGTGCTCAGAAAGTGGTACTTACTATCAAATTTGCAGATAATCCAAAACTGAGGATAGGAGCTATATTATAGAAGATTCAAAATCATTATGATGGAGTAGAGAAATAAGCTTAGATAGTGACAAATATAGAGGGAAGAAAAAAATAAAATCCATAGTTAAATTCTCTTTAAATTTTTTATTTTGCTTTAAATTCATTTGTACCAGCATAGAACGAGATCATCCTGACTTAATAGCAGCTTATATGAAAAAAATTTTCTGAAAACTTCACTGATGGGGAGTTTACTATGGGGACAATAGTAGCAGGCCACAGATACTTAATTATTGGGTATAATTTTGTACTACATAAGCATATACTATATGTAAATCCAGAAAGTTAAGTAGCCTAGTGCACTTTGCAATGGACACATCCCATCTGGATCATAATGTTCAGTTCTAGACACTGAATTTTCAGAAGAATATTTACAAAACAATGCAACCTAAAATGGAAATCAGAACGATGAAGTGCTCAAAAGATTGCTGAAGGGGCTGGAGTTGTGATAGAGCCCTTGCCTAGCATGTGTGCGGCACTGGGTTCGATTCTCAGCACCACATATAAAAAAATAATAACGATCCATTGACAATGAAAAAAAAAGTTGTAATTGAAAAAGAAAGAGAGCTGAAGACACTGGGAATAAGGCTGACTGAAAAATTTAGGAAAATTGTGATAACTGCCTTCAAATATATGAATTACTATAAAAAATTGAATAGTAATTCTAATAGCAAATATATTATGAATACTGATCATGTTAAAAAATAGACACAGTTATCCTTATTTTGCAGGTGAAAAAACTGAGGCACAAGGAAACTAAGTTACAACTCCTAAGGGCTAGGCCAGCTTGTCCCCCAGTAGCCCATCCCCAAATCTGGGGAAGATATTAGAGCTATTTGCCAAATATTTATAGTCTTAAAGGATAATGATAAGATGGCACTCGGCCCCCCCACCCCCTCCCCCACCCCCACCCCCTTTTCTTCACAGTTGGGTATGGTCACATGATCTGCTTTGGCCAATGAAATGTGAGCTTACACCATATTCATCACTTTCAAAAGAGAGTTTAAGCGTCTGCATACAGCTTGCCACATACTCTTCCAACTACAGATGTGCAGAGATGGAGCCTCCATTAATTGAGGTCTCTGAGGGACAATGATGAACAGAGCTTCCCTGCTGACCCATGTGGGAGAAGTGGCAGGAGCAAGAAATTGGCTGTTATTGTTTGTTTAAGTCACTGAGGTTCAAGGGTTGTTTCTTTTGCAAGGGCATCACTCCCCTTCAGACAGACACATGAGCCCACATACTTAAAATCATCAGCATACTGAGGCAGGAGGATTGCAAGTTCAAAGACAGCCTCAGCAAAAGCAAGGCGCTAAGCAACTCAGTGAGATGCTGTCTCTAAAAAAAAAAAAAAAATACAAAATAGGGCTGGGGATGTGGCTCAGAAGTTGAGCATTCCTGAGTTCAATCCCCAGCACCCCCCACCCCCCACCCCGCAAAAAAAAAGTCATCAGAATATCTCAGAATAATAAAACATATTTATTCTATTTTCAGAACTAAAAGAATAATTTGTAGAAACTATGGATGGGCAGACTGGGGTTTTCTAATTTAATTTTATTTTTTTATAAAAATTATCTAAAAGTTGCTTCATGAGGTGGTGAGCTCCCTAATGATGGCAGTATTTGCTGAGAGGCCAGATGATCATTTTACATCTATATACAAAACAGATGTCTTAATGAAGGGAATTCAAGGTATCAAACATTTATTGAATACCTGCAATGTGCCAGGCATTCCAGTCACAAAGAGAAATCCAAACACACAATCCTTATCCTCTAAGAAATAGCAATCAAGTTCAGAACTAGATAACCTCTGATTTTTTTTAACAGTGTGATTCAGCCAAATTAGACATAATAACATGGCCAGGATAAAGCTGACAGCAAGCCTCAACTTACAAATAACCATGTACCACTAGAAATCCTGCTGATGCTTAGGTTGTATTATTATTTTTCAATTAGAAGCCAAAAGTATAGGGTTTACAAAAGGGAGGAAAACGGGAGAATTGCTGGGTTTAAAGGAGAAACATTTTTCCTTTCTCTAGTTACCATTCTTTAATCTTGCAAACCAGGCATATTATCTGGCTTACATCAGGGGTGTTCCAGCAAAGGGAATAGACTGACTCACAGCAATTGTTACTGACCTTTTCCATCACTTCTCCCACCCCTTAGAGACAGGAAGGGAACATTTTGGTGCTGATCAATTTACACCCCAAAACAGGCAATCACTTCTCTATAAAGAGCTATTCTTCAGTTAAGATGTCAGTCAAAGCCTTTCCAAAATATCAAAACTTTTCCCAAAAGGGTATGTGGGCAGGGCCTAAAGGAATGCCACATTCAAAAGAAGATGTGAAAATCTCAAACTAAATGAGTGATTCCAAGAGACACTGTTATTGTTTCACAAATGGCACCTTTAAACAGTACTGATTTCCATATTTCATCTCAGTAGCTAAAAGTTTGTTTTTTAAAACTTTTGAAAATCAATCAGGGAGAGATACTATCCTTTCACTGGCTCACTGCCTTTTAATGGAAAAACAACTAAGAACTGGATAAGCATTAACTGTAATTGTTCTGAGGCAGACATTTCCATTTCAGGTTATCATTCATGATTGTATTAAAGCAGAATAATATATGTGGATGGATTTTGCAGCCATTACCTAGACACTGGTAAGGGCATCTGATGACTATTGTTCTTCAATTCAAAAGTGTCAGTTTTAACTTTGAATCCTTCAGCCCTGCCTAGGCCCTGAATTTTCTGAACCATGGCTCTGATTTTCTATGAAATAGTCACAAAAATCAGGGCATGCTGATCAATGCCATCCTTCCCATCAGTTTGGTATGGCACGAGTGTCTCTAAAATACATACAGAAGAAATTGGCTTTAGCACATGTAAAAGCAGCAGGGAATTTACAGCTCGTGCACCCTTAATACCCTCTTCTATTTTAAAAAATACAATAATATTCTTGCAGAGACAGCTGGATCCCTGTGATACTCAGTCTTGTGCCAAGCTGTGTACAAATATACTCTTTACAAAACAGATGTGAAACGTGCTATGACAGAAGCAAGGCAAAAAAGATTCGAGTGTTTAGTGGCTCCACACCCAAAAGTTTCAGGCACAGAGCTGATGTTTGAACAGTGAAAGGGAAGACCGCCCATCCTGTACTTTCATCCGGGCACTATGGAGATGACCCCATTTCCTAGAATCAGTTTGCCCTCTGCCCTAAAGACCTGGGTTGAGATTTAATTTGGGACCAGAGTGGGCCAAGACAATTGTGCTGTTGGTTACTCAGACAGAGAGAAGGTCTGAAATCTCCAAGACAGCCCAGGCTAACTGGGCTGACACACCCACCCAGAACTAATGGCCCAGCGGTCCAGCGGGGAAGCTGGGGTAGGGAAGCAGAGCCGGGTAGGGGGGCTGGGACCCTTACAGTGAGCTTACGAAGATGCTGCACGTGCGAACCCAGGGACGGGACTAGAAGGTCACGATGTGCTCAGCACAGGATGCCCTTTTCCTCCCTCTAGTCGCCCATCCCCTTGGAAAGTGAGCGCGAGAAAGTTGCGCCCCGGCCATGGCGGCCAGAACTGGAGAAGGGGACAGGGCAGGCAGAGAAGGGAACTGGGCCCCCTTACCTTGTCCTCCGGATCAAGGTTCTGCAACACCTCCTTGCCTGTGGCGCTCAGGATCTCCACCCCGGCGGGCTCGAGCGACTCAGGCGCCGGCTCACTGCTCTCCTCCCGGGCTTGGGTTCTGCGTGGGGTGTCCCCCTCGACCCCGGGCCGGGTCCCTGAGCCGCGGCCGCTGCCCTGGCTGCTCCGGGGAGTCTTTGCGCCTCGCTGCCCCACGCTCAGGGCATCGAAATCCAGCGTCTTGCTCTCGAAGGCTCCCTCCACGTTGCAGAACATGCCGCCGTACTTCTGCCGTGGGACCTGGTCGGTGGTTCCCGGCCTGGCCAGGTACACGGGCAGATCATCCTCGTGGGAGCTGTCCCAGCCTCGTCGTCCGGAGGCCATGGTTCAAGCGCGACAGCGGCCCGCTGGTTTTCTTCCCCAGAGACGGAAAGGGCAGCCGGCGGCAGCGTGCACCGAGCCACAGTGACTGGGGCGGGAGGAGGCGCCTGAGCCTTCGCGCCAGAGGCGGCAGTGCTGCTCCGATTCCTGTCTGTCCCCAGCGAGCCAGCCAGCCAGCCAGCCAGCGAGCGTGCGAGCGGCGCAGGGGCCCGGAGCTCCCTCGCTCGCCCGGGAGACCTCTCGCCCGCCCGCCGGGAGGAAACCGCCTGCTGCACCTCCCCAGGCACCCCCAGCCTTAACGTGGGCTCGCGGGCTGGCGCAGTGTTGGTGCCCATCACAAACACAAATCCAAACTTGGCGCGCCGCGCGCATGTACACACACACACACACACACACACTCCCCCCCTCATGCAAGAAGCTCCAGACTTGTTTCATACTTAGACACAATTCAGATGTCTTAAAAATGCTCACACTCGGAGAACTTACTCCCATATGCACACAAACTAACTCTGTTTTCCCCGCATTAGCTCCCAAGTTTGCCTCCCAAACACCAATCTTTTTGACTCTCTCATGCACAAAATCCAAACTGACCCAGGTGTGTTCATCTCAAAGCCAAGTCCTGATTTACAACAAACATACAAATTCGGATTTAGAACAGACTCACAGTCTTACCCACAACCCCAGATGGCCTTATCCTGATTTTGAGTTGTCTCACAATTACACTAGTTCCAGAATCTGCCTAGCAAACCTGCACCTTCATATGATAAATTCCTGAATTGAATTACACATACCCAATACAACACACACAGAAGAGGGGAAGACCATCTTTCTTCATTGACATTCACAAAAACCCAGAATTGACTCACATAAACCCATTCCTACCTCATACATACTATCCTAGAATGTGCTTTTTACCCAACCTTAATTTGCCTCACAAAATTACACTATAGATCACAGACATGCATACTTGCATAGATTTTGCATTGCAAAATGATCTGTCCATCATACAACAAACTACAGGCTTCTACCTCACACAGAGACTCCTTTAGAACCTCCTTTAGAACCTTACACTTAATTCACACACAAATTAGATTTATTTCAAAAAATGCACAACCAAAGAACTTTGCCTTCCATGTTACCTCACACATACAAAGACTTATGTGCATACATGCTATCATGATCTCATTCCCATCCTCACATCTACCCATATGTATTCTGTCTGACCCAGTTGTTGCCATATAAACACAGAATCCACAAACTTGAAAAACTTGAATCCTATCAGTGCATATAGCCTAAGCCCAGAATCTTTGCTGTCCAAATTTAACTGAATCTCCTCTCAGAAATGTATGCATTCATTTGTTTATTCAGCCAACAAGAACCAAGTGACTCATTGGCCCATTTGCTCTTCACAAAATACTGGAACAACAGTGTTAAAAAGGCAAATGAGGTCTGACCACCAAGAGTGTAGTTGTAGCCATCCATCTAAGCACCATCATTCAGGGTTTATTTTCTGACTTCATTCCCTGAATCCTACTCCCCCCATTCTTCTAAGCTCCACAAAGGCAGAGATCTGGTCTGTTTAGTTTACCTTTATATATCTTGTGAATAGGACATATTCAGGCACATAACAGGTACTCAATAAATGTTTTTAATAAATGAATGATAACAACAAGGAACATTTAAGAAGCTGTTGATAATGTGCCAATCGCAATTGTAATTCTTTCATATATACTAACTTATTTCTCTGTGCATATAGGCACAGTCTTTGAAGGCATCTGAGCTGAGTTTGATGACCTGAAATTCCAGTTTTGGAGTGAGATAAGGACACTAGGAATTATAACACTGAATCCCTGTGACAGCCACAAAGATTTGGAACATGGAAGTCGACCTGGACTCAGAGCAGACAGGTGCATTGACAAAAGTTATACCTACCCACAGTGAAGAGAAAAAAAAAAACATTCACTAACCAGCCTGCACTCTATCAAAATTATTATTTCTTAAACTCACTTCCTCTGGGAAGCTTCTCCTTTTAAACAAATGCTGATTAGTGATAAACCTAGAATTTCACTTGAAAATTGGTAATATAGCTTATTTCCTCCATCTTTGCTGACATAGATGGTTTCCCTCACCTTTTTAATTGCTACTGACTTCTTCTCCAGTCATTAACTAATTATAGGCTTGTAGGAGGACACTTGCTTTGTGTCCAGTGCTGTTGCAGGTCCTCTCCTCTGTAGAACATAATTCTAGTGGGGGGAAACAAACGAAGAGAAAAAAATCAAGGCAGAGAGTCATAGAGCTATAAAAGGCTATGAAGAAAATAAGATAACTAGCTAAGATATATCAAGAATTTAGGAGTGTCTGACTCTGTGTAAAGGGCATACCATGCAGTCTGTTTACTAGCTTTTATAATTCTGCAGATCATGTACTATTATTCTTTTTTATAAACAAGGAAGCCCCACTTTTGGCAGAGTCATAACCTAAATGAAATATGTATAAAGGGTCTAAGGGTTCCTTGAAAGGGCCTATTCTGAATGTCGGTGCATGCATGTATGTGCTATTGTAAGTGGGTGTATGGGATACACAACCAGTTTTGTTGTTAGAGGAGCAGCTCCATTATCTCACTACTCTCTATATGATGCTATAGCTATGCCCAACAATTATATTTGTTGACAAAACATCACATTTAAAAGTCAACTGCGGCATATTCACATATGTGATTAATTAAGAAAGCAAAGCAGCCTATTACAAAAAAGACTGAAATAAGAATGGCTCATCTCACCCTAGTTCTGCAAGTATGTGGCCTTAGGCATGTGACTTACTTAATTTATTTGTCTTTCTTCTTTGTATTTGCCTCACCTACCGAACAGGTTTATTAAGGACTTCATTCTCTGAGCAAGGCATTGTGCAAAGAATTTTATATGCATCGACTTAATTTTCATCAGGACTCCATAAACTGTGATGATTATTCCCCCTCCTTTTTTTAAACCAGTGGAGAAAACAAGGCCTAGACCAGTGAAGTTCCTTGTTCAAAGTAGCACAGTTAGCACTTCAAATTGAAATTCAAACCTTCTACTTTCTGACCAGAGCCTGTGTTCAGAGCTCTGATAGCTCTTTCATGAAAATCTAGAGAAATGATACATGGAAAGACCAAAGGTAACATGTTAACCAATAAAATAAGCACTTAAGTTGATCTTAGATAGAAGCTAAGTTTAAGACAAACACTCATATAAAGAAATATCCTAACACTCTCAAAGGTATTAATCTCACAAACACACAGCAATTTTGTCATGTAAATTACTTAAGTTAGAGAATAAAGGTGTCACTCACAAGCACAAGAGCAACAGTATGCCTATAGATTCCTTAACTGAGACTAGCCAGGAAGGTATTTCATAAAATAATGCTCAAACAGCAAACTATTTCTGTAACGTAGGCAGCAAAAAGAGTTTTCAACTTGTCACATGCCAGATCAAATTTGCATTTCTTGTAACTCTGCAGTAAATCACATGCCACTTCGCACTGAGATGACTTGTGATGGAAGCCCAGAGCATATCCGATGATAACTTTAGGAAAATGTATTCCGGAGGCATCTTCTATTACCTATAGATCAGCAGAAGCAGAGAATCCTAGACAGTAAGCAGTGGCACCAGGCAATCTTGATATGCCAGCACACAGAATGTATTTTATGTAAAAACAAATTACACTGCATTTTTATGAGGCAAAAAAATTGACCCATCAGAAGCTAAAATTTTAATATTCACTCAGGTCATGCTGCCATATTCAAAATAAGAGGGAAATAGAGGAGTTATACAGCTTACCTTGACTCAACGGTGAATTTATTTTTGTCACTTCATTTCTATTTCATAATCATAAACTTAACTCTACAATCCAGCTAGACATGAAGAGGAATAAGGAAAATTTGGAAACTAAAGCACAACTGTAGCAAAAACACAAACATTATAGAATATTGCAAGCAGGTAGGGTAAGAGGTGTTCTCCTGAGCTACAGAAGGTCTATTGTTTGAGATAAAAAATGAATTAGATGTACTAGAGTTTTCCACAGTCATCTATGATGACCTTGTTGCTGGTCTTGCCATTCCTAGACCCAAAGTCCACCATGACTTCCATCACAGCCACGCCCTTTTCCTCAATCCTAAAGGTCACCTGCCTGCCATCCAACCACTGAGTTCTGGCGGTACAGATAAAAAATGAGAATCATTTGGGCTCAGCCTAACATTTGCCATGAACAAGATGCCAGGACTTATATATTTCAGAATGAAGTTCTAATCCTCAAATTTCTTCTTCTCATAGACGGACTTCCCATGCCATTATGGCGTGTGAAGTCACTATCCCAGAACATAAATGTACTTGAATAATTCTGCAAAACCAGGAAAACTTATGGCCTAATCCTTTGTCTTCAGTGCTCAGAGCACAAAAATGGTCTGCTGCCTTTAGAACTTGGTCTGCTAACAGCTTGAAGCAGCTGGTGGCCTAAGGGCCCGCTGTTGACAGCTATGTTGAGGAACGTGACCCCTGGCAACCAGCAGCTCCAGGTGACAGTGGCTTCTGCAAAGTCTTAAGAGTTAATTTAAATATTTCTAATCATAACTCATCCTTTTTGTTTTCCTTCCTTGGATTACAGGAATTTGAACCCTCATCATCTTTTTTCCCCATTTCATGGACCTCAAAGTTTGAAGCCTTGTTTTTCAACCATGAATATATGAAACAATGTTTTAAAAATGGACAACCCTTTGCCTGACACAGAGTAGGGACTCAATAAACCTTAGTTCCAATTTCCTCAGGGTATATATACATCATTAATCTCACACAGAATTTGCAATGAGCTTGACTATGTTCTATAATTTTAATTTGGCAGAATTTTATGAGCAAATTGATACCGACTATAATATTGTTTGGGATAGATGTTAAAAATGACTGCTGTCTTCCATATACTTTCATCATAACCTTTGAATTTTCCTGACAGACTGCCACTGAGTTTTGTCTCAATATTTGGTGACCAAAGACTTAATTAAAAACATAAAACAAGGTATTTTCCAAATAGATGCAAAACAGTAAAACTAGATTATAAAATATTTTCAGTAATCCTAATTGCACATGCAGAAAAAAATCCCTGCTCTTTTATGAATATACACATGTAAAGGAAAAAACATACAAGAATATGTATCAAAATACTGAATTAGTAGAGTATAAGTCATAGG